AGGAGGGGTTCGCTGAGATTTTTGGAGATGGGTCGGGCGGTGAGCATAGCAGTGACTGGCGTCGCAGACGCGCTGGTTTCGGATTTGTTTCCCTTTCCTCTGGCAGCCTGGACCCGATTTTCGGTTTTTCGTCCTCCCTTGGTGGGAGGGTCCAGACGGTCCCGAGGGCCGAGCTCTCTGCCTGTCTCGCCGCCCTTGAACTGATCCCAGGGAACATCCGCTATATGACGGACCACCTGGCCCTGGCCCAGGCCTGGTCCAAAGGAGTCCCGCTCCTCCTCGCTTCCTCGACCCCTCCTGCGAACTTCGACCTTTGGACCAGGATCCTGGAGGCAGCAGGAGACAGAGTAATTCGTGTGATTTGGATCCCTGCCCATGTCGAGGCTAGGGATGTGAATTCCGAGGAAGCGTTTCGTTATGCTGTAGGCAACGCGTGTGCCGACGCACTCGCGGGCCTAGGCGCCCAAGCGAGCAGGCGCTGCGGCCTCACGAATCCCGACACCGACCGCCGCGATGCCGAGGCTGCCCTGGTCAGACGTCGAGCTCGGAGAGCTCTGGTTGCGAGCATCCTGGCCGATCCGTGGACCGCGTCTCGACCCGTGGCCCCTGGGGCCCTGCGGCTTCCCATCCTGACCAGGTGTCTTCGGGCCAGCGAGCATCAGTGGCGGAAGGTGGGTTCTAAGTTTTTCTGTCTGGTTTGCTCCCAGTTCGAGACCAGGGAGTCCATCCAATCTGGGAGCCTCTCGCGATGCTGCCCCAAGCCCCGCGGCCAGGGCATCTCACCGCTTCACGGCCCACAGACAGTCGCGGGGAAGTTGCTGTGCGCGAGCCACAAGCTTTCCTTCTGGGGCCGTTTTGGTTTAACGTTTTGCACTGCGTGTGGCAAGACCGCCACGTCCGACCCAAGGTGGTTGGTGGAAAGATGCAGGGCCCCCCCCAAGGGTGCGCAACATCTCGCGAGGATCGCCCGAGGTTTATACCCGCACGTGGGGGGGCCCCCGCAGCACGTCCGTGATGCAGAGATTTCACAATTCACTTACTAACTCGTCTGGTTTTGCCCAGTTTCGAGGGCCCCGCTGGTGGCGCAAATGGCAAAGTGATGCGACGCCCCTCGGGGGGCCGAGAAAAGATCACGAGCGCCATCCAGCGGGGTCCTGATTATAATAGGCGTCGGCTGTCGTTGTCGCCCGCTTTGCATAGTCCTGCATAGTCCTTCTCCTTCTACTTCTCCTGTTCCTCCTCCCTCCTCCTCTCTCCTCCCTCCTCTCCTCCCTCCTCCTTCCTCCCTCCTCCTCTCTCCTGGGGGCTTTTTGGGGCTCGACTGGCCTCACCTGCGATCGCGCGGGCCACGTCCACAACTTAGTGCAACGATTTGCTAGGCTTAAGGGTTTCACTGCAGTCAGCGGACTGCTTGATTTATCCAAATATTATGAGCACATCTCGCATGCAGATCTTTTCCAGGAGGCCCTGCTCACGGGATTCCCCATTCGTTTGCTGAAGTGTCTGTGCGCTGGGTATCGCCTCCCACGTAGAGCCGTATGGGAGGCGATTATCTCAGAGCCTTTAGTTGCCAACGGTACGGTAGCAGCAGGCTGCAGCAACGCGCTCGCATTCGCGAAGCTGCTAGTGCACACACTGATCAAAAAGCTCCAGCGGAAGTACCCGCAGGTCAGGTTCCAGAACCTTGTTGATGAATTTCTTCTTCAGGCGATCGGTGGTCGAGCGCAGATTGTGGAGCAATTTCCATCGGCCATGATGGATTTAGTGGCCAGCCTCGAACACAAGAAACTCAAAGTCAATTGGGCTAAGACTGGATATATGACCAGCACTCCCGATGTTGATCCAGACCTGGCGAAACGCTGGGATCTAGATGCTGCTCAGAAATTGCATGCCGGTCGCTGTCTTGGGACAGACGCCAGCAGCGGTGCCAGCCGCAGCGTGCAGGAGCAAGATAAAAGACTTGCTAAGGCCAAGTCTGTCTCCGCCCGTGTAGTCCAGCTCAGACAAGCCAGGGCCAGTGTCAGCACGATAATGCGGGGTTCTCCTACGGCGACGGCGGTTTGGGGATCTGCTGTCACTGGCCTAGGCGATCACAAATTGCATTCTCTACGAGTCGCAGCCCTTCGTGCGGAGGGCCCCGTGCCTCCTGGGACGTCGGTGGCCCTTCGGCTGCGAGCGACGCCTAGAGGTGCATCTAGGGGCCCATGGGTGGTCCACGCCGTAGAGGTTATAAAGCACTGGACCCTGTCGGTCGTTTCCCCTCTCCCTGGGCGCGGGCCCTTGGAAGCTTGTTTGGAGGCCGGTCAGGCTATCCTTGGTCGGGCCCGGCCTTGGTCCCAGGTGGTGGATCCCGCCCAGGCTGCGTTGCTTTCCTTGGCCAGGGTCGGCGCGACACTGCCTGCGGCCACAGTTTATGGGGACCCATTTTGGGGAGATTTTGATATCCCGCAGTATTCACCTGGATTCTTCATGAATTTGGTCCGCGACGCTGCCATGGCGGCGTCCGATGTTGCAGCGCTCAGGCGCCTGGAAGGTGCCTGGGTTTCGCCTCTTCACTGGGCGCCCGTGTCCGCCGTGTTGAACAGATCCTATTCGGCGGGATGGACAGCCCACATGTGTTCTGCCATTCGATCGCTGGTGGGAGGCAGCCATTGGCCCCAAGCCAGGCTGCATGACCACGGGAAGGCGCTCCACGACCGTTGCGCCCATTGTGGAGCACGGGGCACGTTGTACCATCGATTTTATGATTGTCCAAGGTTTAGCGCCGTCCGGCGCGAAGATTGCCCTGAACACGTCAAGCAAGCTGCCAGCTATGTCCAGGATCTGCGTGAATTCTTTTGTGAATTGTTTTGTCGCTGCCTGTGGCCATCGCCCAGGTATTGTTTTCCCCGCGACGAAGCTCCCGAGGAAAACTGGTTGCGCTTTGTCGGGGTTTTCCCTGGGTGGAAATTTTCGGAGAAGGTCTTCGCCGATGGAAGCGCTTTTAACACCACTCGCGCCGGCCTGAGTAGGGCTGGATGGGCGGTCGTTGCGGTAGACCCGGCAGGGCAGCTCATAGGAGCCATGCATGGGGTGGTACCCCTAGCTAGCGCCCCGCACCAAGTAGCTAGAGATGGCGAGGAGTACGCGTTTCTCATGCTCAGTTGTTTTTCGGAGTGGGACCCCGAGAATCCCCTAGAGGTATTCTGCGATTGCCTCGGGGCCGTCGGGTGTGCCACCGACGCCGGAAAGCTTTGAGCCATGACAACCCCAGGCAGCACCTCTGGAGGGAATGGTGGTCCGGCATTGGCCGTCAGGCCCAAGTTCATAAAGTGAAAGCCCACACATCAGAGTCGCCGCGGGTCTGCCAGCAGATGCGCGACACGCCGGCGTCCACCCAGGATGGCTGGCGCCCATCAGAGTCGGCCGCTTTAACCGATCATGACGTGTGGATTGTTCGTGGAAACAGGATGGCCGACAAATATGCTAAGAAAGGGGCCTTGCTGTGGGGAATCCCAGAGCAGTGGCCTTTGTTCGTTTCAGGTTGCAAGCGGATTGTGAGAGACTGTGCTATGTGGCATGGCCGAGCCCAGGCTGCTTTCGGTGCCTTGGAGCAGCCCGATTCGGAGGGCATCGCCGGCACTGCGGACATCCAATTCGACGATGAATACTCCGAGGCCCTTTTAGAGGCATGCGAGCAAGCAGGAGTGCAGCCGTTCGAACGGCGCCCCGGCACCGCGGGAGCTTCGGGGTTCTCCCCCGCTCCGCCTCCGCTTCCTCCGCCTCATCCTGCACCCAGGGACTTCCTCCATGTATCTGGGGTTCCCTGGGTGCTTAGAAACCACTCCATCGTCCAGGCCACGGTCCAGGCTGAAGATGGGGAAGCTCTCGACGATTTAATTTTTGTAAGTGCTGTGGGGCCTCGGCGCATCAGAGTGCGCGGGGAGGCCTTCAAGCAAACTGCAAGGGATCAGGCCATACGGGGTATAAGACCCAGAGGTCGCGTTTAAAGCGTGGCTTGTTCCCAGGTCACAACCTGGGGAAGGCCACTGTGGGCACTCCGTTCGGGCCGACAGATGATATGAAGGCTGTTTGGGGTCCTTTGCTTGGCTTTGAGCCTGGTGGGGGTGGTGCTGGTGGGGACGTGGGTCTAAACAGTGATGCTGTAGAGGCGCCAGTTGCGGCCACGCAGGTGCCGCTCCCGACTTCAGCGATCGCTGAGCTTCCAACCTTGTCACCCCAACAGATTGCTAGATTGCACGGTTCCGCTACTCCAGAGGCGCTTGTTGCTTGGGAGAGTGACCAGCGCCGTCGGGAAGTCGATCCGGCTGATTGGGATGAGGAGGATAGCATAGGCTAGCCTCCTGCTTTTGGCCTGCGTGCCAAGGGGTGTAGACCCACCCCGCGTCATCACTACCCTCAGTACCCTCTCTCATCCCTCCTCTCTCCTCCCTCCTCCCTCCTCCCTCCTCCTTCTCCTTCTCCTGTTCCTCCTCCTCCTCCTCCCGGAGGTATCCAGCGCCGATCGAAGACGTCCGCGCGGAGCTCCGAAAGTTAATGCTTATGGTGCTTTCCTTGTTCGAAACAAACAGGGGGGGTCGTTTTCTAATTCAGTGTTTTGCCGATCGGCGCGGGCCCTCGCATCCCCCCTCCCCATTCAATGGAGTGGATCTTGGCTGTTTTTTTGGCGCCTGTTTCGAGCAGGTGGAGTCTCCCCCCACAGGACGGACGCACTGTGGCAAACAGTCGCACTAAATAGAGTCCCAGAGCCAGACCCCCACCCCCATCCCCCCCTCGTTCGTTGAATGTCGAAACGCCGAATAAGAGAACGCTCACAAGGATCCCCATGGGACCTCGAAAACAGCACTTCTCCCTGGGATCTCCCCGTCGCCGCGGCCTGGTTCCCGTCGGAGCTCTGGCCAGAGCGCGCCCCAGGATCTAGGAAGGGGCCCCAGGGCCCAGGGCCGTCGTCCTCGTCTCCGTCGCCGTCGACAATCGGAGTCCAACAACGGCCCCCGGAGGACGGGGCTACTGCGTGTGCGGCGGCGGGCAGAGCTGCGGCTCCAACGGCAAGTGCGGCTCGTCCGGCTCGCGGCTCCTCGACGACGGCGTGCGGCTCTTTGAGGAGCTGGACGGCCACGACGGCGGCCGCGTCCCGCCGGAGGACCGCGATCCCTGCAGGGGGCCCGAGGAGGACGAGGAGGAGGAGGAGGAGGAGGAGGAGGAGGAGGAGGAATGTTGGAGGTCCCGCATCTCCGACGAAGCATGTTGATGTTCAATCCCTGCGGGAGTCCCTCGATTCTGGCCGCCGAGGGCCGTGAGCAGGCCGCGGGACCATCAGAAGTGGATCCGGGGCGAGCCACAGAGAGCCTCTTGGGAACGGATGGGGAGGTCTCGGGCGGCGGATTGAACAGCTCCTGTTGGCGGATGGCAGGGCAGAGCCAATCCTCGGAGTGCCCGGGGGAGGAGGGTTGGAGGTCTGCGGCCGGGGGGAGCCCAGGCCCGCGAGTCGTGGCAAAGGCACGGTGGAAGCTCTGCGGCAAGTGTCGGCCTCCGCGGGCCCTCGCCAGGCCCCGGAGATTATCCAAGAACGGCGCAGGACGGAGAGCAGGTCCCAGGGTTAAGTCGGGCCTGTCCCCCTACAGGGGGATTTTCGACGAAAAATTAAAGATACCCCCAAAAATGGTCAACAAATAATCCCAAAATAGTATGTCGACTAGTTTTTGTAAATATTTGTTGGCCTTTTTGCCGCATTCTTGGTGTATTTCTCGTTCGTCCAAAATCCCCCTGTAGGGGGACAGGCCCGACTCAGTCCCAGGGACTGGGTCGAGACGTCCAGGGGTGGCCCCGGAAGGCACCGGGAGGCCCCGAGAGGCCCCAGGAGCGGGAGGCCCCAGGAGGCCACAGGAGTGGCTCCGATGTTTTTGCGCATGCTCCTAGAGATTGGGCCTCCCCTGGAGCTCGCATCCTTTCTGTGTTTTGCGTATGTTTCTATAGAGTGTCTGTCTCTTGTGTATCCAATCCTAAATTGTTTACGGATATTCCTATTGATTGGGCTTCCTTTGGGGCACGAGTCTTTTGTGTTTCGTGTGTGTGTGTGTGTTCTTGTGGATTGTCCTTATTCTGTGGTTCCAATCCGTAGTGCTTTACGTATATTACTATATATTGGGCCTCTCTTGGGGCGCGGATCCTCCCCAGGAGGCCCCAGGAGGCTCCATGAATCCCCAGCAGGCCACAGGAGACCCCTGGAGGCCTCAGGAGGCCACAGGAAGCCCCAAGAGGCCTCAGTATGTTCCAAGAGGCTCCAGGAGGCCCCAGGAAGCCCCAGGAGGTTTCAGGAGGCCCTAGGAGGCCCCAGGCTCATGCGCAGAGACTCGCTCGTACTACTGAGACTCATTCATTCTTCAACTCATTCACGGTTAGATTCACCCCCAGACCGTCAATATTCAAGGTTGTTTGGATTCGAAAATTCTTGCGCCTACTGACCTCCGGCGGGCAGGTCCATGCTAATAGATGCACAGATGGGAAGTCCCAAGCATTGAAGAAGTATTACTATGTCCGCGCGGACTTCCTCTCACACATCCTCCTTTCTCTTCCTCCCCCTGATGACGCTTTCCCTGAATATGGCGACGACGATGATGATGCAGACGATGAATGATGATGCTGGTGATGGAATGATGATGGAGAAGGTGATTGGTGATGACGATGATGACGATGACGAACAAGACATATGCTGCTGATGCTGATGACGATGACGATGATAATGGTGATCATGGTTGGTATGATGCTGATGGCGATGTTGCTAATGCTGTTGGTGATGATGGTGATGCTGATGCTGGTGCCCCAACATCCTTCGCTTTCGGAGCAGATGCTGAGGATGTCTCGAGCGGCTTGCTGGTTTCATCACTCCTAATGGTGGGGCCGCCAGGGGTATCTCGCGGCCTCCGTTCGCGCCCAGATTGCGGGGATGTCTCAGGCGGTTTGCCTGTTTCGGCGCCCCAACATCCTATGCTTTCAGAGTCGATTCGGAGGGGGCACGGATCTTCTTCAGGATGCCACAGGACGCTCCAGCCGGCATCAGGAGGCCGCAGGACGTACCAGGAGGCGTCAGGATTCCACAGGAGGCCACAGGAGGCTCCAGGAGGTTCCAGGAAGCCCCAGGAGGCACCAGGAGGCTTCAGGAGGCTCCAGGAGGCAACAGGGGGCCCCAGGAAGCCCCAGGTGGCGCCAGGAGGCATCAGGAGGCCCCGGGAGGCCCCAAGACTCCCGAGGAGCAGGAGGCCTCAGAAGGCCACAGGAGTGGTTCCAATCCCATGTGTTGTACGTCTGCTCCTATAGATGGTGCCTCCCCTGGAGCACGAATCCTGTGTGTACATATGGTTCTATAGACTTGGGCTCCCTTGGGGCACGAGTCCTTCGTGTTGTACAAGTGTTCCTATATATTGCCCTTCTCCTGCGGCTCCGATCCGTAGTGTTTTATGTACGTCCGCTCCTATGGATTAGGCTTCCCTTTGGGTACGAATCCTCGACAGGAGGCCCCAGGAGGCTCCAGGAGACCCTGGGAGACCCAGGAGGCTACAGGAGGCCTCAGGAGGCCACAGGAAACCCCAAGAGGCCCCAAGAGTCTGCAGGAGGCCCCAGGAATCCCCAGGAGGTTTCAGGAGGCCCAAGGAGGCCCCAGGCTCAGGCGCAGAAACGCGCTCGTATTACTGAGACTCATTCACACTCCAACTCTTTCACGGTTCGATTCACCCCCAGACCGTCAATATTCAAGGTTGTTTTGGATTCGAAAACTCTTGCGCCTACTCACCTCCGGCGGGCAGGTCTATGCTAATAGATGCTAATAGATGCAATAAGTTCGTGCGTATTCGAGAACTCTTGCGCTTAGACATTCACGGCGGACAGGTCCATGCTAATAGATGCACAGATTGGGAGGTCCACGCAGTGAATAATTATGTGATTCGTCGTTCGTCGTTGTCGACCTTGCTGGCTATCTTGGACCTCCCTGGACACCTCAGGCCCTCCTTTCTGGCCCCGGGAGGCCCGAGGAGACGCCGAGATATTTCTAAGAGGCCCCGAGAGAGTCACAAGAGAAGGCAATATCCCCAAGGAAGCCGCAGGATGGCCCCCAAAGACGCCCGTCTCGTCACGCTCGCCATTCTCCTCGTGTAAGAGCCAGGGCGCACGTGCCACTTGATTGCCGCGGTCCAGCAGATTGGCGGGCGGGGCGATCTCTCGAAGGGATGGCGGGGGGACGCGGGAGAAGGGCGAGTGGGGCGAGAAATGGGAGGTGCAGAATGATCTAAGTTACGCTGTTTCTTTCTCGGGCTCCCAGAAGCCTCATGGTGTTTCCAGGGACCACTTGACGCTTACTGAATCCTCGGGGCTTGCGGGGACTCCTGGAAACCCCAAGAGGCAGAGGCCTCCGAGGAGAGGCAGGCGGAAGGGGAGGAGGGGACTGCGAGGTCAGAGTGAATTTCTCCAGAGCGGCCCCAGATGTATCTTTTCAAACATGCCCAGCTCACGCATGCCTGATGATTTGTTTTCGCCTTAATTTGAGAGGGGATGATGTGGCCCCGTCATGTTGGACATGTCACATGTCACGGGACGTGGCGAGCAAGCCCGCGCTGCGGCTCCGTCTCTGAAGGAGTGAGCAGGCCCCGTCAGGTTGGAAAGTTCATTCCTCTTCGCAGAGGTGACTCAACTCCCCCCTCCCCCAGAATCTCCAAGAGCCCAAGCAATCGCCCGACAACGTTCCCAACCGATCGTACGCATGGATACTCATATCTGAGAAAACGACGGAAGTTGCATTGCTGGTGCAGCCACTTGTCCGAGGTGCGGGGGGTAGTCTGCTGTGATCTCGCTCCGCACCCACCGAGCAGCAAGCGACGCGTCCCGTCTGGGAAGGACCACACGGCGGGGCTGATGACGTACGGGTTGCCGCGCCGGGTTGTCGTTTGACCTTTCGGTATCATTGTCAGCAGGAGGAGGGGCAGGGGGCGATCACGATGACGATGACGATGATGGTAATCATGACGTTGCCCGGTTTGGATGTCGCCCGATGTTGCTGCCCTCATGCCGTCTGCTCACGCCGTCTCCTCCGCTCTCCACCTCCTCGCCCTCGCTTCCGAGGCCCCCCCTCGACTCGGCCCTCGCCTCCTCGGTCCCCCAAGCTCCCACCCCCCTCGGCCCCCGTCCCCTCACCCCCCCTGGCGTTCCCTCTTTCTCCGCACCCTCTGACACCGGCGGCCTGGGCGAGAGGACTGAGGTGCAGGTGAAGAGGTGCATTGGGGCGAAGGATCTTCCAAGCACACTGAAGGTCGACCAATCAAGGTGCATGTGTCACGGGGTACCTCTCGGGAGGCGGCGATCATGCCAAGGGCCGGCAGCATCACAAGTGTCCTTCCTGAGGCCGGGAGGAGGCAGGGGGAAGGGAGGGAGAGGAGGGGGCGATGGCGGGGGGGGGGGAGAAGGGAGACTTGTAAAACGAGGACGTGGGGGGGGGGGAAAGGATGAGGATGGGAAGGCATCTAGGGGAGAGAGAGAAGCGGCGGCGACGACGACGACGACGAGGAGCGCCTTGGGGCAGCGGCCGGTGGCCCCGGCGGCAGCGACCTGCGACGCCGCCGACGCCGGCCGTCGTCGACGACGAGGCGGCCGCCGCGGGCGGCGGCGGCTGGCCGCCTCGGCTGCCGCCAGGCTCCTCGCGGCCGCCACGGCGGGGATCGGCGTGAGGTGGGCCCTCGGGGGGCAGCTTCCCAGGGCGCGGACGCGGTCGGCAGGCTCGGGCAGCGGCCGTGCCGCACCGTCGCGGTCGTCGCCGTCGTCATCGTCGTCATCGTCGTCGCCGTCGCCACCATGGACGTCGTCGTCGTCGTCGTCGCCGTGGTCGTCGACGGTGATGGCGTCGTGATCGTCGCCGTTGCTGCCGAGTGACGGGGGGCGCGTCGTCGTCGCGATCGTCTTCGCTGTCGGCGTCGTCGGCGTCATCATCCGTCTGTGTTGTTCGATGAGTTTGGATGGCATGTTCGGTGGTTTTCCAAAGGGGCGATGGCGATCTTAGGAGTTCTCTTCTAATGGGTACACTCGAAGTCCATCTGGGGGCTCAGGGGTTGGAGAGAGGGGGATTGTATTTGTATGGTTTTTCCCGGAAGGGCGTAGGCCCAGGGTTCTCTTTCAGTAGGTTCACCCTAGGGCCCGCGAAATTATTCTGCGATAAGTTACGAGGTAAAGTGTGAACGTTCAGTTGAACAAGTGCGTTGTTCGCGTGCCCGCTCGAGGAAAGTTTGCCCCCCATCTCGGATCCTCGATAAATAACAGGGTCCGCGGACCACCGTTTTCCTCCGCAGAAAAGGCGCGGGGCATTTTTAGCAGAATCCTTCAAAAAACTAAGTCTAGAGCCCCGGCCAGGACACAAAAGATTTGAAACTGTTGACTTGTTGCGTGCCCGCTCGAGGATGGCGCGTCCTGCGCGCAGAAATTCTGGGGATTTCTCGAGCGAACCGCTCGTTTTGCAAAATTTGACGGGTCTGGGCGCTCAAGGATGCCCAGGGGGTTCTGGGAGCGCAAACCCAGCGTAATTTACGAGGGACCGCGGTTTTGGGAGTGCGGACGTTGCGTGATTTACTACGGATCGTGGCCGTGGGAGTGCGGAGGCTGCGTAATTTTATCGTGTCCAGGCCACCCAGGGGTGTATCTAACATGGTTGTCCCGAGCCAGGACCTCGTGTTTTAACGTGCCCAGGCCACCCAGGCGTGTGTCTAACATGGTTGCTCAGAGCTGGATCCAACTGTTTTTACGTGTCCAGGCCACCCAGTGGGATATCTGACATGAATGTCCCGAATTGGAGCAACGTTTGTTTACGTGTCCAGGCCGCCCAGGGTGGTATCTAACATGATTGTCCCGAGTTGGCACCACGTGTTCTTTACTTAACCCAGGGGGATATCTGACATAGTTGTCCCGAGCAGGGATCACGGGTTTTAACGTGTCCAGGCCACCCAGGGGTGTATCTAGCATGGTTGCCCAGAGCTGGTCCCACGTGTGATTGTGTGTCCAGGCCACCCTGGGGGATACCTAACATGGTTGTCCCGAGCTTGAACCATGCGTTCTTCCGTGACCAGGCCGCCCAGGGTGATATCTAACATGATTGTCCCGAATTGGCACCACGTGTTGTTACGTGTGCAGGCCACCCAGGGGATATCTGACATACTTGTCCCGAGCAAGGATCACGTACTTTAACGTGTCCAGGCCGTTCAGGCGTGCATCTAACATGGTTGCCCAGAGCTGGTCCCACGTGTGTTTACGTGTCCAGGCCACCCAGGGGGTATCTAACATGGTTGTCCCGAGCTGGCGCCACGTGTTTTTACGTGTGCAGGCCACCTAGGGGGGATCTAACATGGGCCTCTTGGGGCCTTCCTGAAGGCCTGGAGCGGCCGTCTGACATGAAGATGTGTTGAGGATGACTCGAGCGAACCACCTGATTTCCCTTCCAGTTCGCCCAGGCGGATGTCTAGCATGAGGTGGCACGTCCATCGGCACGTTCCGTATTGCGTCCCCTTTGGCACGTCTTGCGGTGCGTCCCCATGGCACGTCCCTCGGCACGTCGTTTGGCGCGTCCCTTGGAACGTTCCGCGGCGCGTCCCCTTGGCATGTTCCGTTGTCAGTTAGTTCTGGGGCAGCTACCATATGCTCAGGCAGCTCGAGCTTAAGATCCAGATCAGTTCGGTCAGGACTCGGATGCAAAGGAGGACTCGATCCACAACGCTATAGAGCACAATCGCGGCATGGCACATCGCAATTCAGCACGGCGCAGCACAGCACAGCCCTCGGCACGGTACATCAAGATCGATACATTCAGCATTGCAAGTTGGCACGTTCCGTGGCGCGTCCCGTGGCGAGTCCCCCTGGCAGGTCGCGCGGCGCGTCCCCAGGCACGTCCCGTGGCACGTCCATTGGCACGTTCCGTAACGCGTCCCCGTGGCACGTCCCGCGGTGCGTCCCCATGGCACGTCCCTTGGCACGTCGCCTGGCGCGTCCCTTGGGACGTTCCGCGGCGCGTCCTCCTGGCATGTCCCCTTGTCGATTAGTTCTGGGGCAGCTACCATATGCTCAGGCAGCTCGAGCTTAAGATCCAGATCAGTTCGGTCAGGACTCGGATGCAAAGGAGGACTCGATCCACAATGCTATAGACTATAGAGCACAATCGCGGCATGGCACATCGCAGTTCAGCACGGCGCAGCACAGCACAGCCGTCGGCACGGTACATCAAGATCGATACATTCAGCATTGCAATTTGGCACGTTCCGTGGCGCGTCCCGTGGCGAGTCCCCCTGGCACGTCGCGCGGCGCGTCCCTTGGCACGTCCCGTGGCACGTCCATTGGCACGTTCCGTAACGCGTCCCCGTGGCACGTCCCGCGGTGCGTCCCCATGGCACGTGCCTTCCTTGGCACGTCGCCTGGCGCGTCCCTTGGAACGTTCCTTGGCGCGTCCTCCTGGCATGTCCCCTTGTCGATTAGCTGTGGGGCAGATACTATGTGCTCAGGCAGGTCGAGCTTAAGATCCAGATCAGTTCGGTCAGGACTCGGATGCAAAGGAGGACTCGATCCACAACGCTATAGAGCACAATCGCGGCATGGCACATCGCAATTCAGCACGGCGCAGCACAGCATAGCCCTCTGCACGGTACATCAATATCGATACATTCAGCATTGCATTTGCCCGTCGCCCAATCAGGTGTCTTTGAAACGTTGTTATGCCTTGCATTTCTGTATTCCTTTCCGGCTTGGTGGGTCGATCATGTCGGGACACCACGGGGCACCACGGGGCACCGCATCGATCTCAGTATCGATTTCACTATCGATCTCGCTATCGATCTCACTCAGCGGGACACCACGGGACACCGCGGGACACCGCGAGAGCCACCGCCGGACGGACAGACGGGCGGGCGTGCGGGGGAGAATCATTTTTCCCAGAAAGGGCGTAGGCCCAGGGTTCTCTTTTAGGGGTTTGCCCCCGGATCTGACGGCTGTAGGGCCCATGGCACGTCCCTTTGGCACGTCCCGCCGTGCGTGGCCATGGCACGTCCCTTGGCACGTCGCCTGGCGCGTCCCTTGGGACGTTCCGCGGCGCGTCCTCCTGGCATGCCCCCCTGTCGATTAGTTCTGGGGCAGCTACCATATGCTCAGGCAGCTCGAGCTTAAGATCCAGATCAGTTCGGTCAGAACTCGGATGCAAAGGAGGACTCGATCCACAACGCTGTACAGAGCACAATCGCGGCATGGCACATCGCATTTCAGCACAGCCCAGCACAGCACAGCCCTCGGCACGGTACATCAAGATCGATACACTCAAATTGCACCTTGGCACGTTCTTTGGCGCGTTCCGTGGCGAGTCCACCTGGCACGTCGCGCGGCGCGTCCCTTGGCACGTCCCGCGGCACGTCCATTGGCACGTTCCGTAGCGCGTCCCCTTGGCACGTCCCGCGGTGCGTGGCCATGGCACGTCCCCTGGCACGTCGCCTGGCGCGTCCCCTGGGACGTTCCGCGGCGCGTCCTCCTGGCATGTCCCCCTGTCGATTAGTTCTGGGGCAGCTACCATATGCTCAGGCAGCTCGAGCTTAAGATCCAGATCAGTTCGGTCAGGGCTCGGATGCAAAGAGGACTCGATCCACAACGCTATATATATAGAGCGCAATCGCGGCATGGCACATCGCATTTCAGCACGGCCCAGCACAGCACAGCCCTCAGCACAGTACATCAAGATCGATACATTCAGCATTGCATTTGCCCGTGGCCCAATCAGGAGTCCTTGAAACGTTGCCGTGCCTTACGTTTCTGTATTCCTTTCCGGGTTCGTGGGTCGATCATGTTCTTAACTTTGCCCTAGCAGCGACGGGACACCACTGGACACCGCGGGACACAGCGAGCACCCGCCGGACGGGTGGGGGGGGGAGAATCATTTGTCTAGACTTCGCCCTAGCAACGGCGGGTTCATTCCTCTCGCGCGCCCACGCAGCTTCGCCTCGCCCGCACGCACGACACGACGAAACGAAACGAAACTATTTCCCGGTTGGGGGTCTCCGTTCCATTGCGATCTCACCCCCCAACCTCCGATTGTTGATATTATTAATAAAGTCATCAGAAGACTTCGACTACCAATGATATTACTAATTCTGTGTTTATTCCCGGAAAGTGCTCGGGCCCTGGGTTCTCTTTTAGTGTGTTTACCTCCGGTTCTGACGGATGTAGGGCCGGCAACATTATTTGCGATACGTAACGAGGTCGCGTATGGCCGGCGAAATTCATGTTGAGGATGTCTCGAGCGAAACGCAAGTGTTTCATGTTTTGTTGAGGATGTCTCGAGCGACACGCTTGTTTTGTGTTATAGCTTGTTCTCTCCTGGGGACCAGAATTCACAGGATCTCTCAAGTGAAATGCTTGTTTTCACGTGCCCAGGTCTTGAGGATGTCTCGAGCGAGACTCTTGGTTTCATGTGTCCAGGTTGCTCAGGCACAGGTCTAGCGCCAGGATTTGTTGAGGACGTCTCGAGCGAGACGCTTGGTTTCACGTGTCCTCGTCGCCCAGGCGGATGTCTAGCTTGAGGATGTGTTGAGGAAGTCTCGATCGAGATGCTTGTTTGCACGTGTCCAGGTTGCCCAGGCGGATGCCTAGTATGAGGATGTGTTGAGAATGTCTCGAGAGATACGCTTGTTTTCACTTGTCCAGGTCGCCCAGGCGGATGTCTAACATGAAGATGTGTTGAGGATGTCTCGAGCGAGACGTT